CAACTCCCGGCGCTTACTCAGTCTCATGTCCATTGAGTTGGTGATGCCATCCAACCATCTCATCCTCTTTCATCNACTCTGCATATAAGCATATAAATTTAATAAGCAGGGTGACAATATACAGCCTTGACGTACTCCTTTCCCTGTTTGGAACCAGTTTGTTGTTCCATGTCCAGTTCTAACTGTTGCTTCTTGACCTGCATACAGATTTCTCAAGAGGCAGGTCAGGTGGTCTGGTATTCCCATCTCTTTAAGAATTTTCCACAGTTTGTTGTGATCCACAGATAGTATAGCTAATAGAATATAATACTGGTTAAACCAGTTTTCACTTTGTATATCATTATGTCTGTGTAGATATCATGTGAACTGCAAAGTATATTTTGAATTACATTTCCTTTCTGATACAACTCTTGTTTTCCTTGAAGTTAATTCCCTCTGTTTCTTTATTCTGTGTATCTCTTACTACTTCATCCCCAAACTTCTTTACTTAACAGGTTAGTTCTGAAGAGCTGTTTGTAAAATTAGCCAATCATAATCTAAAATGACCAAAAAATATTTAAATTTCTAATCTCCATATGCTTGCCCATTAAAGGAGAATGTGAATTGGGTCTTTAAAGCTTAAAGCCAGGCATGCACTTTTCTTTCTTGCCATTTACAGTCTTTGAGGAATATTTTCCCCAATTAGGTGCCTTTTGTCAATATCAAGACCTCCTGAGACAAGTGAACCTCTCCCACTGATAATCTGCAGTCTCCTAGGGAATCCTTAACAGAGTTATTATCTGTACTCACTGCCTTTCCATTTCTTTTGATTTTATACTGGTACGACTGGAAAACTTTGTCTTTCCAGAAATCAAGGAAATGCTCAAAGACTAATGGATTTATGTAAATAAAAATAACATAGGAGCCAGTCTGAAGAGTTTCCACTGTCCAAATTTAGGACAGTATGAGCATCAAAAAGTATGATGATGGTAGTGGTTTATAACAATGAATTTTTTTAAGTCCATGGTGATATTCAAATAAATACATAAATATGTAAAAGAAGAAAAGGGGGCAACATTTGTCTTTATGGAAGAATGCTAATTATAAGTTTTAAAATAATGATAAAATTAGAAAATCACCATTTTGTAACCCCCAGTGTAATAACTGAATTCTGGCAATAATCATCAATGGATGCTAAAACCATTAGAAGAAAGATCACTGGAAACAGATTATTCCCATGGCCTCAAAGTGTAGCCCCACAGATTACTTATTAATGTTAGTTACTACAAGAGGGAAGTTAATCTTTATATTGGAGAAATCTAACAGTCACCAAACAAATGACCAAACAGCAGCCCCAGTGGTGGTGGGACTGACTGCTTGACATTATGTGTCTCCTGGTTTGAAACAACAAAAAGTATACGGATATAATAATGTACTCTTGGCAAAAATTGTTTGATCTGAATCTAATCATGAGGAAACAATGAGACAAAACCAGAATGTAGAACATTTTCCTGGCTCGAATCTTCAGAAAATTTAGTCATGAAAAATAAAACAAAAATCATGGAACTATCTCAAAAGAGGCTAAAGAGAAATAATGACTAAGTGCAGTACATTAGAACCTTGATCCTGTATCAGGTTGGGGTAAGGAAAAAAAAAAAAGACATTTTAGGAATAATGGAGAAATTTTAAATGATATTTGAATTAGAGTTTATTTTTTAGGCATGATAATGATATTGCAATATCAAGATATAGGAGAATGTCCTTATTCTTAGCAGAGGCATGGTGAAATACTTAGAGTTGAACTTCCATGATAACTGCACTTAATTTCAGGAAAAAAAAATGTGCATATGTGAATGGATGCTAGTCATTAAGCTATAGCTTCTCAGCTTTTATCTTCTGTACTCTCTTCTGGGGTTGGACCTTTCTGCTTTGCCTATCAAACTTATAAGAGGCTCTACCTCTCTAGGGCTCTAGAAAGAGAAGGCATGGCTAGAGGAAAGAGCTTGGTTCTTTCTACCTGCTTTCAAGTTAGACTCTACATGCCAAAGAATGAAGTTGGACCTTTACCTTAAACCATGTACAAAAGCTAACTCAAAAATAGCTCAAGTTATTTAGTTGATTTAAGAGCTAAAACTGTAAAACTCTTAGAAGAAAACATAAGCCCAAATCTAATGACATTGGATTTGGCATCTTTTCTTGGCTCTGAAACCAAAGGCATGGGCAACAAAAGAAAAAATAAACAAATCAGACTTCATGAAAAGTGAAATATTTAGTGCCTTAAGTGGCAATACCAACAGAGTATTTATTCTGTTGGCAGTCATCTGCAGGCAACTGACAGAATGGGAGAAAATATTGCAAATCATGTAGCTGCTAAGGGATTAATATCCAGACTATATAAAGAAATCCAAAGAGTCAAGAACAGCAACTACAAACCTAATTAAAAATGGACAAAGGACTTGCATAGGTATTTCTCCAAAGAAGATAAGCACATGAAATAAGCATATGGAAAGATGCTCTTAGCATCACAAATCTTTAGAGAAATGCAAGTCAAATGACAGCAAGATACCTTATTGTCCTAATACTCGTTAAGATGGCTACTATCCAAAAATAAAATAAAGTAACCAGTGTTGGTGAGGATGTGGAGAAGTTGGAGCCCTTGTGCACCATTGGTGGGAATGTAAAATGATACAGCCATTATGAGAAACAATCTGGCAGTTTTTCAAAAAGTTTAGAATTACTATGTAATCCAGCAGTACCACTTCTGGGTTTATACCCAAAAGAATTGAAAATGAGACTTGAACAGATTCACTTGTACACCAATGTTCAGAGCAGTATTATTCACAATAGCCCAAGAGTGAAAATAGCCCACATGTCCTCTAACAGATGAATGGATAAAGAAACTGTGGGATATACATACAATGGAATATTATTCAGCTGTGATAAAAAAGAACCTTGGGAATGTTATGCTTAGTGAAACAAGCCAGACACAGAAGGACAAACACTACAATTCCACTTATATGAAGTACCTAGAATAGACTACTTCATAGAAACAAGGTATAATAGAGGTTACCAAGGCTGGACGGGGGGAAGAATAGAGAGTTATTGCTTAACGAGTGCAGAGTGCTAGTTTGGGCTGATGAAGAAGTTCTGGAAATGGATAGTGGTGACAGTTGCACAATATTATGAATGTACTTAAACTGTCCACTTTGAAATAGTTAAAATGATAATTTTTAAAATATTTACCACAGTTTAAAAAATTACCCAGAAAATTGTTCCATCTCGGACTTCCCTAGTCCATCCATTAAGACTCTGAGCTTCCTCAGCAGGGGGCACTGGTTCAATCCCTGGGTGGGGAACTAAAACCTACCATGCTACAGAGTGCACCCCCACCAAAAAAAAAAAAACCACATTTTTCATCTCACTTCCACACATTTTTTATCCTAACATTCCAAAAGAAAATTTGAAATATTAAAAAAAAAAAGACCATCCATTTGCTTTTCAAAACTTTTAATTACTGAGTTAAACTTGGTGCTGCAAGAAAGAATGAATTATTGCAGCTTAGTTCTTAATTACACTGAAGAACAATTACAAAAACATTGAGTTTGTCATCATTTTGGATTAAGATTAAAGAATAGTCATTGTTAGGCAAGAAGAGTTTTCCTGTTATTACTGTTCATCACAACTTTTTTGTTTGAATAGGATTTGCAGATTTAACCTAATTTAAAACAACACAAAAACAAATAGAACAAAGAATAGGATCTGTGGTGTATCAGATATGCGTGGGTTATTGTCCTCGTATTTTCTGGACTGGAATAAATTTTGAACAGGCTAGCACACCTTCTGAATTAAAACCTTTCCTTATTTTTCTTTCTCTTTTATTTATTTTGAGATTTTTTTCTATATTGTGTTTAAATATTAATAAAACCATGTTTGACATTAAATGAAAGATAATGTTTTGTGAAATTTCCATATATGCACAGATGCATCACACTGAATGACAACAGTGAAAGGTATTTCTTCTGGTAGATCTTTGTAAACAAAAATTTGAAAAATAGTTTTCTGAACATTCTGCAGTTTTGACTTTGATTTCCTCTTTAACCCAAGAGTTGCTTAAGAGGATTTTTAGTTCCTATTTTGTTCATATTTTGTTTCATGGCACTGTATAGTCAGAGTATAGGCTAGGTTATTCTATACTATTTTTCTTTACTGGAAGAAAGGTGTATGTTTGTATATTTCTATATTAGAGAATTCATATACTTACTTTTAAACACTTTGCCGACTGAAACAATTTCAGATTTACTTGCAAAAATAAGATAAAGAATTGCTGTGCAACACCCTTCTTTCAGATTCTCCAGATGCTAACAGTTCACTACACTAACTTTCTGATTCACCTCCTCTCTTCCTCTTCTTCAGTCTTCTCTCCCCCTCCCTCTTCTCACTCTCTCCCTTCCTCCCTGTCTCCTCTCGTCAGCTGTTCACGTAGGTATTTTCAATAAAGTTTAGGTGGAGACTGTGTCTTAGTACAGACTCTTGTGTATTATGTCATTCTCCACACCCAAACTTCTGTATAATGCATTAATCCAAGGAATGGTTTATTGGCCAGTAATTATGAGATAGAGAATAAAAAGTGTACAGGACTTCCCTGGAAGTCCAGTGGTTAAGAATCTGTCTTCCAGTGCAGGGGACTCAGGTTCAATCCCTGCTGGGGGAACTAAAAGATCCTACATGATGTGGGCGTACTGAGCCCACGTGCTGTGGAGCCCATGCGCCGCAGTGAAGACCCAGCACAGCCCCAAAATAAATAAATTGTATTCCGTCCTCTAAATAGAAATTCTAGTTCCTTTGTCTCTGAGACCAAAGATGTTTTCCCCAGTCACATTACAAAACACGTCCATCCTCTTGCGTCCCAGTATTTTATGGCACTCACTCCTGTTTCAGGTGCAATGGTTCATTTTCCTTGAAATAACAAATCTGTGCTTTTTTTTTTTTTTGTCATTGTTGATTTTTCTTTCTTCATGAAGACCTGAGGATGAGATGTTTTTAAAAAGGCTTTCTGGAGGTTACCTTGTTGGAAAGGATCCCGACGCTTCCATTTTCTACAGAGAAAAAGGAAACAAAAAATTTCAGGAGAAGGATTATATGGGAGCCACAGTGCTGTACTCTAAGGTAAGACCCACCCGCAGCTGAGCAGGAGGAGCCGTCCCAACAATTCAGCAGTGCATATTTCTTCAAAAAACAGAATCATTCTTGCTAAGTGGTATAGCCTCTAGTAACTTTGTCTATTAATTCTGCATTGGATTTGAAAAAGAAAACTGATACAACTCTGCTTCTGTTCATATTCTGAAACAAAGGAGAGTTTGTATTATATGTCTTAAATTCCGTCAAGAAAATTCTCTTCACGTATTCCCTCAGGCACAAGTGTAGCAAGCCTTACTGGATGCCTTGGCCTCCCTCACTGGTGTCTGTCAGCTCTCACTGAATTCTGTGCCTTTTTTGTCTGAATAACTGATGAGGCTGTTACTGTGTGATAGTCCCAGTTTAGAGAGAAGTTGGATTTGGGGGCTAGCCACCAGGTTAGCTTATAGCCAATGTGACTTAGATTAAGGTTCAGTTCAGTTGCTCAGTCATGTCCGACTCTTTGTGACCCCATGGACTGCAGTATGCCAGGCTTCACTGTCCAGCACCAACTCCCAGAGCTTGCTCAAACTCATGTCCATCAAGTTGGCGATGCCACCCAACCATCTCATCCTCTATTGTCCCCTTCTCCTCCTGCCTTCAATCTTACCCAGCATCAAGGTCTTTTCCAAGGAGTCAGTTCTTTGCATCAGGTGGCCAATGTATTGGAGTTTCAGCTTCAACATCAGTCCTTCCAGTGAATATTCAGGACTGATTTCCTTTAGGATGGACTGGTGTGATCTCCTCACAATCAAGTGGACTCTCAAGAGTCTTCAACACCACAGTTCAAAAGCATCAATTCTTCAGCACTCAGCTTTCTTTATGGTCCATCTCTCCCATCCATACATGACTACTGGAAAAACCATAGCTTTGACTAGACAGACCTTTGTTGGCAAAGTCTCTGATTTTTAATATGCTGTCTAGGTTGGTCATAGCTTTTCTTCCAAGGAGCAAGCGTCTTTTAATTTCACAGCTGCAGTCACCATCTGCAGTAATTTTGGAGCCAAAAAAATAAAATCTCTCACTGTTTTCATTGTTTCCCCATCTATTTGCCATGAAGTGATGGGACCAGATGCCATGATCTTAGTTTTCTGAATGTTGAGTTTTAAGCCAGCTTTTCACTCTCCTCATTCACTTTCATCAAGAGGCTCGTTAGTTCTTTGCTTTCAGCCATAAAGGGTGGTGTTGTCTGTGTATCTGAGGTTATTGATATTTCTCCCGGCAATCTTGATTCCAGTTTGTGCTTCATCCAGCCTGACATTTCGAATGATGTACTCTGCATATAAGTTAATAAGCAGGGTGACATACTCCTTTCCCAATTTGGAATCAGTCTGTTGTTCCATGTCCGGTTCTAACTGTTGCTTCTTGACCTGCATACAGGTTTCTCAGGAGGCAGGTCAGGTGGTCTGGTATTCCCATCTCTTATTTTCCAGTTTGTTGTGATCTACTGTTCATGAGAACCTCATGAACAGTATGAGAAGGCTTCCAGAGTAGGAACTGGAAAAAGATTCCTGAGAGACTTCCTTCCATAATTTTTTAGAGATAAACATGGATTTAAAGCAAGAATGTATCAATCCCTTGAACCAGGTCTTTGAACCTTGTCTATTGAAAGAGTGAGTGTGCAATTGAAGTGAAAGTGAAAGTCACTCTGTCCTGTCCAACTCTTTATGACCCCGTGGACCATACAGTTCATGGAATTCTCCAGGCCAGAATGCTGGAGTGGGTAGCCTATCCCTTCTCCAGCGGATCTTTCCGACCCTGTAATGGAACCGGAGTCTCTTGCATTGCAGGCAGATTCTTTACCAACTGAGCTATCAGGGAAGCCAGTGCATTTGAAGTGGGTACCCCCTACTCTGCATCTTAAACAGACCTATGCTTGAAGTTTGGAATTAGTTTTCCAACTATCAGACTAACAACAGTATTTTCTAAAATTGATAAAAGCTCTGCTTTGTGATGCTACAAGAAAGTATTTATCTGAATAACGTGTTAGTGATTGCCAAGGAACTAAAACCCACTAAATGTAATGATCACTGATAAATGCCTTAATAGTTCTTTTTCAGAGCTAATCTTTCTTCACTGCATGCATGCATGTCATAAATGTGATCACAGGGAAGTTATTCAAGGAAAATAAACTAAAAAAAGTAAAATCAGACAAAAAATTAAGATTTGCTCTGAATGGAGAAGAAGATGAGCATTCCTATTTCATGAAGCTAGTATTTTGGTGATTTGGTACTTTGCCGTTTTCTCATAGAGTTGCTATTTTCTTTCTTTTTTGAAATAATATTTGTTGTTTTTGTCTTATTGTAAATGTAATATATGTTTACTTAGAAAATATAGAGAAGCATAAAGAGTAAGAAAAAAAATCCCATAACCAGTGAAAAGCACTGCTAACATTTCTGCTTACATCCAGCCAGCCTCTTTTTCCTCTGAAAATATGTTTTTCTTGTACAAAATTGTGATAATGCTGTACTTACTGTTTTGTAACCTGCTTTTTTTCCCCTCAACAATTTATTGTGACCGTTTTCTCATGTTATTAAATTTTCCGCTAGAACATGATTTTTTACGGCTGGCTTAGTGTTCCGTTACAGAGAACTATACTTGATTTAACATCTCCTAATGTTGGCAGATTGTTTGGTATCATAAAGCTGCAAGGAACATCTTTCTATGTACATATTTGTACACACCTGATTATTTCCTCAGGATAAATTCCTTGAAGGGCAATTGCTGGGTCAATTGAATATGATTTTTTTTTTTTTTTTTTAGGCCTTTGGCACTTGATGCTAAATCCTTCTCCAGGAAAAAGCTAGTTACTCCCCTNTTTTTTTTTTTTTTTTTAGGCCTTTGGCACTTGATGCTAAATCCTTCTCCAGGAAAAAGCTAGTTACTCCCCTTCCACCAGAGCATGGGATGTTCATTTCTCTATATCCTAAGCAATACTGATTATTATGGTATTATTATCGTTATTTTGTCTATTTATTCTGGCATAGGAAATGTGCTTACATAGTTAGAATTTTTAAGGTGCAAGAATATACAGTGCCGTCTGCTTCCTCTGTTCCCCAGCCACCTCATTTCCACCCCCAGAAGCTAGTAACACTGATGCTGTTAAAAGGTATTTTTTCAGAGGTGCCTCACCAAATACAAATAAATACAAATAATCTGCCACCCCTGCACACATGCACTCTTTTTGTGTAAATAACATTCTACTGTTAAGCACTGCACTTTTTCCACTTCTGTTCCATTGTATGGATGCAATATTAATTTGTTAGTGTCTTCTAGATCAATATTTGTTTCCTATGTTTTGTTACTTCAAACAGTTCTGTGATGAGAAGCCTTTCATGTATGTTATTTTGCATATATGTGTAGGATAAGAGATTATATCTGTAGGATAAATCCCTAGGAGAGGAATTGCTGGGTCAGTGGAGATACAGATATATATATATAAATATAGTGTATATGCTCAGTCGTGTCTGAGCCTTTGTGGCCCCTTGGACTGTAGCCCACTAGTCTCCTCTGCCCATGGAATTTTCCAGGCAAGAATACTGGAGTGGGTTTCTATCTCCTGCTCCAGGGGATCTTCCCAACCCACAGGTCAAACCTGTGTCTCTTGTGTCCCCTGCATCAGCAGGTGGATTCTTTACCACTAACCAACTGGAAAGCCTCAGTACGTATATATTAAGAGATATATGTATTGCTGAATTGTCTCAGTAATGGTGCAACTAGTTTACATTCCCACTAGCAATGTAGAAAAAGTGTATCTCATTTCTATGCCAGCAGAGTATCCTATCAATTTTACTTTTCTTTGCCGATCTGATAAGTAAAAAAATAGCATCTCAGCAGAGTTTTAATTTGCATTTTGCTGATTATGAATGAGGTGGAGCATTTTTCATTTGTTTAAGGGCCGTTTGTATTTCCCATGAGAATTGTTCCTATCATTTGCTTATTTTCCTACTAAATTATTGCTTGTCATCTTATTGATCTGTAGGCCTGTTCATAAAGAAATGAGCCCTTTGCCTGTAATAGGAGTTGCAAATATTTTTTTCCAGTTCAATGTTTGTCTTTTAATATTGTTATTGGTTTTTGCTCCAAAGAAATTTTTTATGTTTATGTGGCCACATTTATTAACCTTTTATGACTTCGGGTTTTTGTGTCATAATTAGAAAGGTGTTTCTCACTCTAGCATCACTTTGGACCATTCATGTAGTTTCTTCTAGTGCTCTTACAGTTTCAGTTTTTACATTAAGGTTTTGATCCATTGGGAATTTATCCTAATGAAAGTTTTACCATCTGTTGAGAACCAACTTTATTTTTCCTCAGTGGCTACTTGTCCCAGTACTTTCATTGAATAATCCCAGTCTTTTCTCCAGTTATTGGAGATGCCACCTTTATGATTATTCCTTGCCGATTTGGTAGTAGAAGAAAGTAGCCTTTGTCTGCTTTCATGTTCATGTATTTGACTATCTATCTATGAATTGTTTCCCACATATCATTAGTGTTTCTTCTTGTGTGAATTTCTATTTGCTCCCCTCACACTTTGTTATGTGCCAGGTTATAGTCCTCAGTTTTCGTTTACCTTGAGTGTTGTCTTGTGGCCGACACTGTGTCTGAAGCTGCTGTCTTCAAAATGCTTCACATGTTTATTTCCTCACCTAATCTTCTCAGCTCTGCTCTAAGGTACTTAAAAGTGAAGCAGATGAAGCACAAAGAGATCCAATAACTTTCCCAATTGCATAGTCTTTTGTAGCAGAGCCCCTGTTATGTGGGGGAAAAAAAAAAAACCTCTGAAGATGCTGGTTTCCATGTATATGCCTTTAACCAGTTCATTGCTCTTCAGGGAGTGTCGCATTCGGGGCCCAGCTCTACGGACATGTCACTGTGTTATGCCAATCGCTCCGCAGCCCTCTTCCACCTGGGTCAGTATGAAGTGAGTATCAGAATGCCTGGTGTGGTTGGAGAGGATTGCAGGGGGTTCCCCGGGGGGCTAGACCTTCCTCCTTGCTTCTATCTCAGAACACTAAAATTGGGCCCTGTGCAACTGGTTGAATCGGAAGCACATTGATATCCTCCTGAACTTGTTCTTTCTTGTCGTTCACTTCACTTGTCACAGGTTATTATGTAGGGTGGTGTTGGTTGGCAGGAAGGAGGCATGCACGTTCCCCAAGGCCGTGGACTCTATCCAGTGGGTCAGCAGTGCTCAGCTGTTAAGATCAGTTGTGACATACACAGCCATTGCTAATAATGCTTTAGGTCTAAGTGTTTGCAAACTATTTATTTGTTTGGGTTATTTATTTTTTTAAATAAATAGATGAGTGGGTTTAAGAATATCCCTGTAGGGCTTCCGGGTGGCTCAGTGGTAAAGAATCTGTCTGCCAACTCAGGAGATGCAGGATTGATCCCTGATCAGGGAAGATCCCACATGCTGCAGAGCAGCAACTAAGTCCGTGCTCCACGACTGTTGAGCCTGAGCCCTAGAGCTCGTGCCCCACAAGAGAAGCACCTCAATGAGGAGGCCGCACACCGCAACTAGAGAGTAGCCTGTTCTCCACGACTAGAGGAAAACCCGACCAGCCACGAAGACCCAGCACAACCGAAAATAAAAAAGTGGCGGGGGTGGGGAAAGAACTATGTGAGTAATCACAAGTTCACACTTAAGCCCTTTGGTCCAAAAGAGAAGAGCAAGAATCTAGCTCCAGTCCCCCAGCAAGAAAAGCCTGGGCTACTGAAGACAGCGATGGGAAGACCTTGTGAAATCATTTAGCCCTTTATATTTTCCCTATATTATTACTTCTTACAATAATGATTCCCGTATATTAAGCACATACTGTCTTCCAGGCACCTTTTTTACACTTCAGGTATATTACCTTGTTTTCATCTTTACTTCTATCCTGTGAGGTATTATCCCCATTTTTTCCGATGTGAAAACTTAAACGCTGAGAAGCTAATTCATTTGCACAAGGTCATACAACTAGCAAGAGGCAGAGTCTGTACTGGGATGCCCTCTTAATCACCATAATATGCCCCTTCTATCTGTAAAACTTTTTTCCTTAGAATCAAAAATGGTTAATGACAGTTAAACATAATACCTTCACCATGTATTTCTAATCACTAAACTAAAAGATCACAGTATAATATGATTTAAAGAAATAAGCACATGGTTGTAGTTGCTCTATTTTTAATAATCCTTCACTCATAGATTTTTGTTAAGACTTCCAAGTGAATACTTTAGAGTAGGGACGAATGGTCACTTGGGAATCTACTTTCTGTTTTTAGACATGCCTTAAAGACATCGTCAGAGCACAGACGCATGGATATCCAGAAAGATTGCAACCCAAGCTGCTGTTGCGTAAGGCAGAGTGTCTGGTGACCCTGGGGAGACCACAGGAGGCAAGCCAGACCATCAGTGATCTTGAAAGCAACTTTGCTGCCAAGGCAACCCTCTCAGCTTCCCAATTTCAGATTCTGCAGAGAACCCTCTGTCGTGTGAAAGTGAAGGTACAAGAAAAGGAGAATCTCCCAGAAATCTTCCCAGAGGCTCTAACCAAAACCTTTGAGGGTGTGGACCTAAGGGAAGAGAATGAACAAATTCCCAGTGCCTCGTCCTCTGTCAGCTTACATATAGACCCTTTAAAAGGCCGCTATCTGGTTGCCACAAAAGATATCCTCCCAGGAGAGCTTCTGGTGAAAGAGGATGCTTTTGTGAGTGTCCTTAACCCAGGAGAAATGCCACCGCGACATCATGGCCTGGAGAGCAAGTGGGACACCCAAGTGACCAATGGGGACCTTCACTGCCACCGATGTCTGAGGCGCACTCTGGCCCCGGTTCCCTGTGATGGCTGCAGCTATGCCAAGTATTGCAGCCAGGCGTGTATGCAGCAGGCCTGGGATCGCTACCATAGTGTGGAGTGTTCTTTGGGGGCTCTGCTGCTCACACTGGGCGTGTTTTGTCATGTTGCCCTGAGGTCGGCTCTCTTAGCTAGGTTTGAGGATGTTGACAAAGTCATAAAGAAACTCTGTGGTGAGATGAGTAACCAGGGCATCTGCTTACCTGAAAGCAGGGATCCAGCACAGATACTCAAGTATGACCTGAGAGGAGAGGGAGAAAAAAAGGATAAAGCAGTTGAGACCCCAATTCCTGGATGTGATATTAATGGGAAATATGAAAGGAATTATAATGCCGTCTTCCACCTTTTACCCCATACTGAAAACCATAGCCCTGAGCACAAATTCCTCTGTGCTCTAAGTGTTTCTGCACTGTGCAGGCAGCTCGAAGCAGCCGGTTTGCAGGCCTTCACAACAGATCTGAAACCAACTAAGCTGAAAGCTGCAGAGACTCCTGTGTTGTGTGCAGAGCTGAACGTTTGGGGAGTGGCCATGCTGAGACACATGTTACAGCTGCAGTGTAATGCTCAGGCAATAACGACCATCCAGCAAACAGGTAAGAGGAAACCTCTTTATTCTGCCTTACAATATTGTTCTTGATAGAGCTAACATTTACAGGGGAGAAAGAACTGTAAAGGAGAGCAGTAGTCAAATCAGTGGCTTAAGGGAAGACACAGCTGTCTTATGCTTATGCCATCGAGAAGCTCTGTGACTTTAAATTACTTTGATCCTACTCTGCCTCAGCTTTCTCATCTGTAAAATGGGTAGTTTAATCTCACCTAATTTTACAGAGTTGTGAAGCTGATGTGCTTATTTGTAAAAATAAAGTTAAAAATTTTATCCCCCCCCAACAGTTACACTGTTAATTTTTGTTTTAACTTTGTTTTTGTTAAAATTTTGTTTTAATTTTAACCCTGTAATTTTATTTTAAGTTTTATTTATTTATGGTTGTGCTGGGTCTTGGAGAAGGCAATGGCAACCCACTCCAGTACTCTTGCTTGGAAAATCCCATGGACCGAGGAACCTGGTGGGCTGCAGTCCATGGGGTCGCTAAGAGACGTGACTGAGCGACTTCACTTTCACTTTCATGCACTGGAGAAGGAAATGGCAACCCACTCCAGTGTTCTTGCCTGGAGAATCCCAGGGACGGGGGAGCCTGGTGGGCTGTCGTCTATGGGGTCGCGCAGAGTCGGACACGACTGAGGCAACTTAGCAGCAGCAGCAGCAGTGCGGGGTCTTCATTGCTGTGCACGGGCCTTCTCTAGTTGCGGTGAGCAGGGGCTCCTCCAGTTGTGGTGCAGAGGCCTTTCAGTACAGTGGTTCTCGCTGCAGAGCATGGGCTCTGGGGTGCATGGGCTCCAGTAGTTGTGGCACGAGGGCTCAGTAGGTGTGGTACACAGGCTTAATTGCCCTGCAGCATGTGGAGTCTTCTTCAATCAGAGATCAAACCCATGTCTCCTGCATTGGCAGGCAGATCCTTAACCACTGGACCACCAGGGAAATCCTGCACTGTTAATCTTTTATTGTGAAGGAAAGCTCAAACAATCTGGACAAAACAATCACGACAAACAAGACTGCAGACAGAGCAGGGTCTGTAATTAAAGTATCAGAATCTTAACTTATTCCTGTGACACAGCTATTCTTGTCTCTTCTCTTTTCACCTGACAGATTTTCCCCTCCATTCTTCTGTTTTTAAATTTCCAAGAGAGGAATCTGGCTCAGCACAGCTTTTCATGCAATACTGTTACAGTGGACTGTATGACTATTTCTAATCAAACATGGATTACCATATCTGTGTTTGAGCTGCCTTTGGTCTCAGGGCCATTGCTAGACACAGACCAGCCTAGCCCTGTTTTCCTGAACTAGACCCTGGAGACAAGGCTGTTAAGGTAGATGGGGAGGGTACCTGTGCCCAGCATCCTGAGTGCCACCTCTAATACGATTGTACTGACAACAGATACTATTATTAGCAAAGAAATGATGTTTCCAACATTTCTGTTGTTTGATCTCCATTTTAGCAGTGTGTTTCAATTCAATCAGCTCACGATACTTTTCTCAATTTCCTAATTAGCCCTCTGGAGGGGAGGAATGAGGTCATATCTACACCTAGGATTTATAGGCAGATATTAAATGTGGCTTCTCTGAACTATATATGCTTAGCTCTTTTGTCTCACATGAGGTAATGTAGAATTCTATCAACGTTTTGTTTATATTTTTTATCTCTAATTTTAATTCAGCTGCCAAGTTACACACTGTATAGGTATTTCATTGGACATATTTTGGGGCAGGACTCAATTCCCCATCCTGAAGCACAGGAAACATCCCAAAATAGCACTGGCCTCATCCCATGATGCAACAGAATCACATTGCACGCAAGTCTCCATTTTCTTCTCTGCCTTTTGCTGCTTTGAGCCATCGCTGCCTTCTAAAATATATCTGTTGAGTGTTTCTCCAGAATCGTGTTTTCCCTTGAGTGCTTTCACTGGCATTTTAAAAAATACTGTTTTCATTTTGTTTTGTTTTTCTGAATATAAAAAATAGTATATGGAGCTTCCAGATTATACAGCAGAAAGCTACCACCTTTTGATTCTATTGTGTCTTGCCTCTAAAATACTAAGTAGAACATATGAGAAAAGATATAAATGTCAGTAGCTTGCAAAACTATGGAAACTGTTGTCTGGGAAAAACAATAGAGGTGACCACTAACTCAGGCTGAATCCTTGAGGCAGGATGGCAAAGCCAGAGGGACGAACCTGTTTTCCATCCACCCTCCTTCATTGGCCTCCCCCTTATGGTCAGAGAATCGTAGCCTAAATGTTTTTGTTCCCTGTGCATGGTATTGCATTGCAGTCAATTTTTTATTTACACAGCAAGTTTTGGGTAAAATTTTTCACAAGTTGTTAAGAATGAATTTTGGTAGGAAGAATATGTATAGTCAGGAAGACTTGTATCTTCTGTGGCTGAAAAGGACTAGAAAAATAGATATGTACCATAATACTGGTCACCTGCAGTGATCGGAAAAGGATTGGTAACTCTGTCTTCATCTATGAGGTTCTAGTGTTTTATGCATGATTTGTTCTTACTTATGCTTGAAATGTATATACATAGAAAAAACAACACTAGAAGTAAAAATACCAAAATCTTAATTAGCAGTGATGAATTCTGAAAGTGGAAATATAGGTGATTACAGCCTTCTTTGAACAGTTCTGTATTTTTAAAATTAAAAACACGTTTTCACACTGTGGTAACATTATTCTAGTAAATTTAAAATTGGTTGTTTACCTTTCCCTTCATTCTAGGGAAACGAAAAACATTCAAAAAAATAGTTCACAAAGCAAAAGATAGGAAGATTATAAAAATGAGTCTATAACAGTAAATTTAAATGGACTAAACTCTATTAAATGAATCTTTTAGGTTAGGTCAAAAAGATTAAAATCCAACTATATTCTGTTTACAAAAAGTATTAGTTGCTCAGTTGTGTCCGACTCTTTGCGACCCCATGGACTATAGCCTGCCAGGCTTCTCTGTCCATGGGATTTTCCAGGCAAGAATACTGGAGTGGGTTGCCATTCCCTTCTCCAGGTGACACTTGAAACAACACGAAGTGTTTGGGCAGGACATGTCAGAAATCACAAGCAAATCAGGGTATTAATATAAAACAGTAGAACCCAAGATGAGATATCTAGTAAAACAAAGAGGTATTTTATTTTTGTAAAGGATACTTTTCTGAAATATATCATCAAGCTTAGCTCTCAGGAACATTGAGATTGTGTCTGTAAAACAAAAGTGACTATACAATTAGAAACTGGCAAAAACTCCATAGTTAAAAGAAACTTTAATATGCCACTTGGATCAAATATATTCAAAATAAGGATATGGAAACCAAGATAACATAATAAAATAGGGAATTCAGAAATATAGTCATCAAAACTTGTGTCCTATCGACCAAGGTTTAGCCAACTTTTTCTGAAAAGGGCCAGATAGTAAATATCTGGGGCTTTGCAGACCATATGGTCTCTTTTGCAGCCACTCAACTGCACCTGTAGCATGAAAGCAGTGATAAATAGTATACAAATGAATGTGCCTGGCTGGGCTCCAATAAAAATTTATTATGGACCCTGAAATTTGAATTCCTTACAGTTTTTCATTTCATGCAAATTTTCTTTTGAACCACTTAAAAATGTAAACACCAAACTCCCCTGGTGGTCCAGTGGTTAAGAATCCACCTGCCAGTGAAGGGGACGTGCGTTCAATCTCTGGTCCTGGAAGATTCCACATGCTGAGGAGCAGCTAAGCCCGTGGGCCACAACTACTGAAGCCCTCACCCTGGAGCCCACATACCGCAGCAAAAGTGCCCGCAATGAGAAACTCTCTCACTGCAGCTACAGTGGGCCCTGCTCTCCCCGCAATTGGAGAAAGCCCCATGCACAGCAACGAAGACCCAGGGCAGCCAAAGATAAAAATAAATAAATGATTTTTTAAAATGTAAAAGCCAATCTAGGCCACATATGTACAAAGAAGAGGCAGCAGGCAGGATTTGGCACAAGGCTATACAGTTTATAGGTTCCTGATAGAGACAGAAGTTTGGCAAATCTAATTAAGAAATCCAGGGGAAGACGCCCCAAAATTGGAAACAATGAAGGGGTGTAGCCAAGAATATAAATTTATTTTTGAATTTGAAAATACTAAGTAGACAACTTTGTAGAAAAATAGAAATTGCCTAAATTTTTCCAGAGGGAGGAGAATGCTTCAAAAGTCCAATGATTATGGAAGAAATTGAAAAAGTTATCAAAATATTTCCATAAAAACAAGCCAGACCCACTCTTTTCTATGTGAGTTCTTTAAAACTTTTAAGGAACATATTTAACTTTTAAAGTACTTTAAAAGTAAAGATACTTTTAAAAAGGATCTTTCAAGGAACAGAAAGATAGTTTTATATCTTTTTTATACAATGTAAACATTATAAAAATAATTGAAAATATAATGATATTTTTATATCATTTTTATACCTTATAAACTGTTCCAGGACATGGGTACAACCTAGTACCTTTTCCCACTCATTTTACAAAGCCCAGAATAAAAACTATAGACCAGTCTCACTTGTGAATATAGATGCAGAAACCCTGAAAAAAAAAAAATCACTGCTGTGTCACATCCAGCAGTTTATTAAAGGAACATTCATATATAACCAAGTAGAATCTCTTTCAGAAATGCAAGGATATTTTAATTTGGAAAGATATAAAAGAAGGCTTGGATAAATGCAGACACATGCCATGTCCTGAGAAGGAAAGACTGAAAACTGTAGAAATGCTCATTTCCCTGCATTGACCTAATCAGTGTAATGCCATTTCCAACAAAATCACGATTGGATTTTTCTTAAACTTTGACAGTGTCCTAAATTTCTTCTTGAATAAGTGGGTAGGAATAGCCTTTTTGTTGTAAAAAGTACTGAAGGGACTCAGTACTGCTAGATTTCCTATCAGCATTGAGCTACAATAATTAAAAGCAATATGGTACTGATATGATAGCCCCCCAAAAGTATTAGATTCTTTCTTTCTTCAAGTCATTAAAAAATTAAATATTTAAAAATTAAACCATAAAATATCTAGAGAAAGATAAGTGAATTTTTACATAATTTTAGGGTGGTCAGAGAAGCTTTCTAAAGTATATAATACCAAATTTCAGTAATTAGAAGATAGCTAGATTTAACTTAAACACCAAATTTCAAAAACATTATAATCAGAAAAAAAGATAGAGAACGTAGGTGAAAGAGGTCCTTGAAGGAATGAAAACATTGGATGGGGAACAGCGAGTTCCTGTTCTGTCACTCTAACCACTAACTCTCAGTATGAACTTGGGCAGGTTACTCAACCTCTGTGTGGGTCAGTACTCTAATATGGATAATGAGAGGACTAGGTGAATCTCCAGGCCTCCGGGGAGGCTGTTTGCAAAAATGACCACAATTTCTGTGGTCCCATCCCTATATATTTAACTCCATTTGAACTTGACATTACTTTCACCTCCATCAAGAGGTGGAGCCTGTATCCCCCTGCTGAACCTCAGTTTCACCAGTGGAATGCAGTAGAAGTGATGTTATGTGACTTAATGAGTCTCAGCCTTAAGAGACCTTGCAGCTGCGATTGTTAATTCTTAAAATGATGGTGTGGCCTCTGAACAAGCCTGGGCTAGCCTCTCAAACGACCACATGCACATGGTTGTAATCCTAAAGGTAATCTCAGGCAAGACTAGCAGAAAAAATATTCAGCTGAGCTCAAGCAAAGTTGTTGGCACACAGCATTGTAAGAAATAAAATAGTTGTTGGTTTAACACTCCCCACCCCCCAAAACCCATAAAGAAAAATGAAAATGTGAGTGACAAAATGAGAGAACATTTCCAGCAACTGTGCAACTCTTAAAATGAACTTTAAAAAATATACTTAGTGATGAAAATGTTCTAAAACTGGATTGTGGTAATGGTTGCACAACTTAATTTCCTTAAAATTGTTGAATTACACTTAAAATAGGTGAACTTTATGGTATATAAATTAAATCTTATATATACATAAGCAAACACTTTATCAAAGTAGTAATAAAGATGATCATTTCTAACCTCTCTCTAGTAATTTAAGCAAGATACCCTTTTTTTCCCCTATCAGATTGGCAGAGTTGCTTTGTTGTTGTTGTTTTAAATATAGTATACATTTCAGGTTAGAGTATAAAAAGATGGCCATGACATACTAAGTGAAGAGAAGTAACTTACAAATCACTCTGTGTACCATGTTGCTAGTTATGTTTAAAATTCCATATTTAGGGCTAGAAAGAAAAATAATGCACCAAAACCTTATAGCTGACTTGAGAGGATTATAAATGACTGTTACTTTCTCTGTGATTTTCAGATTGTAAATTTTTTCTGACTCCCATGTATATCTTTTGTAATTTAGCTTCTTTAAAAAAGAGTTCACGTGATGAGAGCACTTTTTAAGGCACTTGATACATGCTGCAAAATTGCCCTCCAGGAAAGCTGTACCAGTTAACACGCCCACCAGCAATGTTCACTTTCATTTTTGAAGTCAGTCTAATTTTGTCTCCGTCTGCTAATATTTCTAATCTTATTTCATCCCTTTTTATTATTTCTTTGGGGTTCCAACACCTCTCAGTTTAGTGTTCTCATTGAATTTCATTAGCAGCTGTTTCATTAGTAGCTCAGAAGAAGGATTAAAGTGTTAACTTGGATAGATTTTGACAAAAACCTATAAAAACGTATGTTATTATCTTTGCATAAATCCTATTTAATCATAGTTCCTCAGGAACCTCTCTTTGGCACTTATTTGAAGGAATAGAACTGGCCACCAGTGAAACTCCAGACCTTGGTATGTGCGGATCTGTCTGGGTGCAACTGGCATATTCGTGGTGTGTCTGGGTTCAGGTCATAAAGGGAATTAATGAAGTTCTGCAGGGGTTCAGGTCAGTTCACTACCCTTTTGCTCGTCAACCACTGGGAACCTACCTTGCATGGGGGTCCTTGATGACTTGCTTTACACAGAAACTTCTTGTTTCATAAAATATCTGCCAAGAGAGGTATATTCAGAAAGTATTATAAATGAATGTTTTTTTTTACTTGAATCTCATTTTAAATGTACTAAGAATATTAGTGAGGTGCCCTTTCCATAAAATGAAAAATCAGTCCCTCTTTTTTTGTTTTTTTGTTTGTTCTGTGCACAAAAGGTCACAGATTTGCTTAAGGTACCTACACATTCTCACTTTCTCTGATCTCTGCTAATAGATGACTAATGCAAAATATTGAATAACTTTTAAAATCAATACTTAATTTTGTCGAGATAATTAGAGAGAGATTCAACTCTGACATAAAATACTCACCCCACTCAGTTCCTAGGCCTACTTCTGTTAGAGGATAATCCATAAATAATTCACGAAGCTGGCATTACTCACAGCATTGTGATAATTTTTTTCTGGGAAAATTTTAGCAGCTGTTCTAATATAGATTGCCAGTTATCAGTAGTTGGCAATGCAAGTCAACTTTTAATTATGCAGAGGCTGATTATTCAGACTACAAACTGTTTGTGCCCTGTGCTGCTCCTTCCTGCGGCCTCCTTACCTTTTAGCATTTCCACTGCTCATTAGCACATTTACCAGAAGGTAGGCCCTGGACAAGGGTAGGGGAAAGGATACTAAAATCAGTTATGCATTTAGTAGACACACTAATGAAAGATTTCAATACAGTGTAGAACTGTTGACTAAAATTGAGTCATTTGGATTCCCTGTGAATTTTATTTACTTGTTCTAATCCTGGCTCTCCACAGCAGCAGGTAATGGAATTGTCTGCAGAGAGACAGTATTATTCCTATAGCTAATGTTTTCCTTTCTAGAACATTTTCACTTGATGGTTTATATTTTCTTTATTTATTACATATGTGCCTACACCACATTATTTGGTGATTGGTAGATTGAGACTCCTGGCTTGTACGGTGATATCAGAATTAAAGTGATGGTTTATCAGTTTTCCAGAAAAGTGAAATTTCCCTTTCAAGTTCCAGTATCTTTCACATTTCAACCAGCTTTGTTGGAAATACGATCTGCTCGTGCTTACACCAAGGTTGCGGAACACAGCTTAAGCCTTTCTGTACACTCAAGGTTGTGTGTGCCATGCATTCTCCTAAGATTTGTATGGTCGTCACAAAAGTCCGAGCAAGTATGGTGTGAGTCTGAGAACCTCTGCTTAGGTCAGATGTACAATTGTAAAACTCAGTAGTGCTAGTACTTCTGTTTGCCCCAAGGCTGTTATTCTCGTATGAGTTCTGCCTCCTCCCAGTCTGTCACCGTCTCCTTTGCCATTGTCAGAAATCCTGCATCTTATTAGTTGTCTGTTTCTGGACTGTTGTGGGCTGAGAAGCTGAATAGGCATGCCAGTTAGAGTTACGGGGCTAAAATAAGAGCAAGTGGGCCCGCAGGAGAATAGAAGAATTCACATATGAATGTAAGTGCTTGAGCCTTGGTGCAGAAATAGCCTCACGGCTTCCTCCCCCCGCCCCCCGCTTCCTTCCTAATTTTCAGTCACGTGGTTAAATTTTGTTGTTGTTGTTGTTAAATTGTTGATTGTGTTTCAAAGAAGAGATTGTTTGGGATATGAAACTGGAATAGACATAGCCCAGGACTTCCCTGGTGGTCCAGTGGTTAAGACTCCACACTTCCAGTGCAGGGGGCACAGGCTTGATCCCTGCTCAGGGAAGTTCCACATGCTGCAAGGTGTAGCCAAAAAAAAAAAAAAGTGATCCAGAGATTTTTTTTCAGTGAGTATTACCACTGACTGATATCCCATCAGATTGGGACAAAGAGCAGAATAAAGGGGTGAGCATAAGAAATACTGATTTTTTAAAAAATAGATTAAAAAAAAAAAGATGATAGGCCTGTTTAGGATAGCGATTAGGTTACCTGTTCTATTAACCCCCCAAAGACCAGTTAAACAAAAGCACTTGGACTCTAAGTCTTTAGGAAGTAACTTCAGCAGGTGCTCTGATTTCCATGTCATCATGAACATTATGCAACTGTCTTGTCTAGAAGGCTCCCTACTGATAATCCCTTTTTTATTATTTTCTACAAATTCTAATCTTTGGATTATTTTGGGGGAATTGAGACACAGTGGTTAGGTTCCAGGATTCTGGTGGACTTTTCATGTGCTCATTTGCTTTGCTTCCTGGGGACCAGAGTTAGCTCTGAGTCACGCTCCGTCTGATTTATATCAGATCCGGCTTGTGGAGCTCTGACTCAGCCGGGCTTCAGGCCTGATTGCCCAGCTCATCATCTGAGGAATGGAGGGCGAGGCCAGGATGAATGTCCTGACACATTTTTCCCCCTTTTCCTCTTGCTCTTTCAGGATCTAAAGAGAACCTCATTACCGACACCCAGCAGGTGCGCCTTGCCACAGCCCTCTTCCCTGTCGTCAGCCTCCTGAACCATTCCTGCAGCCCCAACACCAGCGTGTCCTTCTTTGGCACCATCGCCACCGTTCGGGCATCACAGCTGATTAGAAGAGGGCAGGAGATCTTCCACTGCTACGGTGAGCCGTCCGTCCTCCCCACTGCCCACCCTTCTCCAGCAGAAGGGGATGGGGTGAGCTCGCGTGGGCAAGCCACAAAGCAGGTGCCTTTCACCTGCCCAGGGAGGGTCTGTTTGCTGGTGGAGGCGGTACAGAGCTCCTCACTAGGCCCTGTTGTGTCTACACTACTGTGTATCTCACTGCTTGATCCCTGTAAGCATCCTATTCTGAAAATGGACTGGGAACAACTTCTTGGCTTCTTTTTCTTCCTGTCCCCATGACTTTGAAGCCTGTTTCTATAGTTACACCCATGTTTGAGTAAAAGGTATTTGTCACATGATGTGACAGACCCTCCACTAAGCTGAAGTCTTTTTTTTTTTTTGACTGTGATGTGCAGGATCTTAGTTCCCTGACCAGGGAGGCAACCCGCTGTCCCTTGCAGTGGCAGTTCAGAGTCTTAACCGCTGGATTGCCAGGGAAGTCCCCTGCAATCTTTTAAGCAGTGTTTGGTGCTCCCTCGGTTTCAGTATTGGCCAAGCATGGTCTTTCTGCAGGACCACACGAGAGCAGGATGGGCGTTGCTGAGAGGCGCCAGAAGCTGAGGTCTCAGTATTTCTTTGACTGCAACTGTCCACCTTGTGATCGTGAGAGGCAGAGACCCTCGGCAGGGCCTGGTCGGGAAGCCTTTCGTTGTCACCGTTGCAGAGCACTCCTGCAGGTGAATCTCTTTCTCCCTTTTCTTCTCTTCTCGTGGCTTTTCTGGGACATCAGTTATCCAGCTGAAAGGCCTGAAATCTTTAGCAGGATGCTGTTGGGACTTGGAGATGCTGAAAGCCATACTCTCTCTTCCCCACACCTTGATCACCCCCTACAGGAACCACAGGGAAGGGCTGGGATTCATGCCCTTTCTCCTGCAAAGAGCAGAAAATCCCACCTAAACTGAGTCAGGGTTGCTCCAGTAAATCACAAGGAAGTCCCAGGTTAAGGGTGCTTCAAATACACTGTAGTCCAGGAGCTCAGAAGTGTCACCAAGACCCAGTGTTTCTTTCTGCCCCCTCAGCTTCATTTTCTCTGTTATTTAGCCCAGTCTCAGAGAGACTTCCTCCTTGCAGTGGCCAGATGGCTGCCTTTAGCCCCAGCCTCAGGCCCTCCCAGTCCCGAAGGATAAAAACATAGACTCTAACAGAGATCTGGGCAAAAATCATACTGCATTTCATCAACCTGTGGCTGGAGGAAAATCAGAGGCACAGAGTTTCCCTCCAGCCATTTGGGCCAGAGGGATGGGCCATATCAGAGCTGCCTGCTCCCCGCTCAGCTCCCAGGCACTGACTGAGGAAGGGCGGGGAATGGGGAGGAAGGACCCTCAGGAGAAGTCAGGGTGCTCTTGCCAAATGGAGTCACGGATTCTGGCATCTGAAAAACACCAAATGTCTTAAGGGACCTGTAGGTAGAACATGGAGCTGGTTGTGTTGGAAAGCTGAAGTCATAAGAATCCCAGTGTCAAATGTGGGGAGGCCTCACCCAGAACCTTTTCATGTTGGTTTCCTTGTGGCTTTTTTATAACCCCTGGAAATACGTCTGTCATCCAGAGTCCTAGCCCCAGAGAGAAGTAAGAGGAACTATAGAAGCCAGGTGGGCTACAGTTCATGGTGTTGCAGAGTCAGACACGACTGAGCGACTAACACACAATACAACGCCAATGCGGGAAAAGACTGTGGTCTGTACCAGTTTTAATTTGGTTGCAGTAGCTAAATCTCAAGTAAGACTCGGCTCCTGCTTCCAATACAGTTGCTGCCATCAAACCAAATCCAGATCCAGTCCCCCTTGGTCGTTGTATGTTATGGCAGGAGTCTCCTTCCCCCACAGGGTCAGAAGTTCTGGAGTGAGGCTGTAGGGTAAGCATGTGCAGTATTGCTAGCTGAGTCTGGTCAATAAAGAGAACACTGACTTCCACAGGGAGATGATGTTCTGAGCTGTGGTGGCCCAGCTTGTACGGAATCACTTGGCAGAGGCCTCCTGGTCTCCCGGCTTCAGGACCTTCAACGGCAGGTGGGGGTGGCCCAGAAGCGTCTCAGAAACGGCAGACTAGGTGAGACTGGCTCCCTGCTTTGGTCCTCCAGCCCCTTCCCTTTTATTCAGTCTGAGTTCACCTTGATCTCAAGGATACTCAGTGAAGATTGAAGCGTTGAATTTAATTATCCCCCAGCCAGCCACAAGATGGCTATGTAGGCCAGTGAGACCAAACCCTTACCAGCTCAGCTTGCATGATGTCCTTGAAAAAGGGCCAACTGATATAAGCTGTTGTTCTCTTAGGCATCAGAGAGTTAGTTAAAGACTAATGGGTTATCTCTGACATCCATAATCTTTTGTGCATATCCAGAAGCACAATGTCACTTATTTAAGTTCTGGAGCCTTGTGACCTAATTTCCTAGAGAAACTGTTCTGCACTCATCAGGGCCTATCTCTCTTCTACAGAGCAGTGGGGCGTGTGCCCAGTGGGTTTAAGTGTCCTGCTTTTTCCAGAAAGGGAGTTACAAAACCCCTCGTTACCCTGGAAAGCTCTGCCTTGGGGCTTGACGTTATGTGAATTTATTTACACTACTTTTTATGAAAGTTGACCTTTTTGCTTAGACTTCTGAGTCAAGAGAAGTAACGACCATGCATGGAATGTAGATATCCCACTTCAAATTGAAGTTGGAAACCTAGAGCATGTGTGGGGAGGCCTCACCCAGCACCTGTGCTGTTGAAAGAGAAAGCATAAGGGAACAGCTTTATTGGACCCAGCATTGCGGGTTGATCACAACCCAGGGAGACAAAGTGGGATTTCCACATTCAGGCCCAGCCATAGAGGATTTAAGGGCTGGAATCTCATTTCTAAGACTGGATTTGTATCTGTAATGAGTCCACTTTCCTTTGAATTGATAGAGCTCGCCATTCAGCTGTTGCTGGAGTGTCAGAGTGATGCCGAGAGCTTCCTGTCTGCAGACTACAGCGTGGTGGGAGAAATCGAGGACACCTTGGCCCAGGCCTATGCTGCCTTAGGTATGGCCTGTGTCTGCATCTTCCGCTCCGAGGAATGAGCCTGCCTTGTGTGTGCGGTCGTGACCTTGGCCTTGTCTGGTTGGGTCTCTCAGTCTTTCACCTGGGGCTACTCTCCCTTCCATTCAGCTTTCCTTTCCCAGAACAAGTTCATCCACAGCTGACTGTGGTTCTCGTCTGGATCCAGATCTTCCTGTCTTTGCAGGGGACTGGGAGAAGTCAGCGACCCACCTTCAGGAGAGTCTCCGAGTGGTGGAAGTCCACCACGGGCCATCCAGTGTGGAGATGGGCCATGAGCTCTTCAAACTGGCCCAGGTCTTCTTCAATGGGTAAGTCTTGTTTGCTAGCACTTTGCTGGGCCACATACTGATTTTATACGAGGCTCTTCTGCGTGTTCCTTTTTGCTCCCACAGCGCCCCACTGCTCTGTAGAAGAGAGATGAGGCTCTGATGAGGGCTGAACAGTTTCTCTAGGAAATTAGGTCACGAGGCCCCAGAATGAAAATAAAGTGAAACGTCTTTATTTCCCCTTTAGGAGTGATCCCTTCCTTCTGTCCTGCTGACACATTTGTCACTTTAGAATTCCCTCCTGGGAGATAATGGGGAAGCTCTTAGCTCTGACGGGAGTTTCCCAGGGAGAAGTTGCCTCAGTGTTCCCCCACCCCATGCCCACCGTCATAGCAGTTCTTAGCCATTCTTCTCGGTCCCCTCCTCCCTCGGCACTCATTCTCAGCACCCTCAGCCCCAGGCCCTCTTCCTTCTTCCTGGTCCTATTCTTTTTGAAGAAGTTGTAATCAAGCGTGAGTCTTCTTGCTCCCCAGGGGACGTCTGGCAATGTCTGAAGACGTTTTTAATTGTTAGGACTCGGGGTGGAGGCCAGAGATACTGTTAAACATCCAACAGTGCACGAGATGGCATCACCACGACCCCCCAGCTAAGAATTACCCGGCCCCCAAATGTCAAGGTTGAGAAACCCAACTGTAAAAGTTGTAAGAACAGTAGGGTTGGTGAGTTGATGGCCTCATCCACTTTTGTAACTGGGATCATTAGGAGGCCCTACTGTCAGTATTTCTAGATGGAATACATCCAGCCTTGATAAAGCTGCCATTGGTGTGGTGAAATATTTGAAACTCAGTCCTGGGACTGTGTGGTGGGTGGGCCTGATATCCGAGACTTAGAGGCAGCCCATTCTGTCAGAGAGAGGGAAAAGAGCTGCAGAATCAGGTCACAGACGGACCTGGTGACTCTTGAGGCAAAGACTCCTGAGTAAACCTTGAGTAAATACAGGACCATGTGGTCACAAAGACTCAGACTTGACTTAGCAACTGAACAACAACAAAAATGCCGGATGAGCACTTTGAGACCTGCCTGTCTCTATCTTGGAATCTTTGTACTTTTTTTTGTAACTTTCATTTCAGACTCTACCTTTCAGTGTGTTTGTGAGTCTTATCTGCCCTTCTAGACTAGAGGTTCTTGAAAACAAAAGTTATCTACTCTGCATTCTTCACAGGATGTGAGTAGGCCCTCCACTAATGTTTGCCTGATTGAATACATGGGTTCACTCCTCTTTACCTCCTTTTGATTCAGGTGTGCAATACCCGAAGCTCTGAACACAATACAGAAGGCAGAGAAGGTCCTGTTGGTACATTATGGCCCTTGGAATGATGAGATCCGGGAGCTACAAAAGATGAAATCCTGTTTATTGGACTTGCTGCCCATCCCTGGGGGACCTAAGGAATAGGGTGGGATGAATTAAAGAGTGTCTGTTGCTGCTGAGCTGTCACCTAAAAACACAGGACCTGCCTGACAGTCACAGGCCTGGTGTATGGGATGGGGGGGGACTTGGAAAGCATCGCGGTTAGAGACAGGCTCACCTATTTTGATGGATGTTTTTTGAAGTAGTTAACTACTCTCCAGCACAAATTCCCATTTCCCAGAAAAGACTTCAAACTGGTATCTGGAGAACCTAAGCCCTTTAAAAGGATTTTAGCTGATCTGCAGGCATCTGGATGTTAGCCTAGGGTTTTGGCTAAACGCCACCTCTCTAAATGATGATGTCTGCTTCACTGGAACATTCCTATGGTTTCTAGCAGTAATGAAATGTTGTGTACCACTCCAGTGGGAACTTAAACTCTTAATAGTTGTGTTGTAATTGAAAAATAGTTATAAAGCCAGAAGTCAGTGAGGCTCCTTACCTCTAGAGAGACAGTTTCATTTACGTTATCTAGCTTCCTCAGATCCTTTGTTTAAAACCAGTAGTGTATAAATTATGAATAGAGAAATAAATATGGGGCCATTTTATTGTTGGGCTAGGATGGCACCTCTCAATTTGTTTTCTACTAGTTTTCCAGTCCTTGTTCTCTGGATTTTACTCTATACTCTTGGCTGACTCACTGACCAAACACTAATAAAATCAAACTTGTAGCAAAGACTTTATAACATGTCCTTTCTGAGTTATGTTTATTAGCAAACCTGAAAAGAGATTGCTTTTTTTCTATCTCCCCAAGCAGGCAAATGAAATACAGACTATGTAAGTACTGAAAAGGGGGAAAAACAGCTTCAGAAGATGCTGAGGGTATGGGCATGGCTGCTTGTGGTTTCAGACCTAAGAGACAAGCTAGGAAGGAGAACTGTTGTCTACCTGGTTGTATAGCACTGGTCTAGACGTTTTTGGCATCAGAGACTGGTTTCATGGAAGACACTTTTTCCACGGACCAGGAGCGGGGTGGGGATGGTTTGGGGATGATTCAAGCACATTATGCCTGTTGTGCACTTTATTTCTATTGTTATTACATCAGCTCCACCTCAGATCATCAGATGTTAGATCCTGGAGGTTGGGGACCCTGGTCTAAACCCCGTGAGAAGGCCAGAGTCTCTGGATCTGAACCCTGGGTTCTCTGTCACCACTGGGGACCAAGTGGTTCAGATGAGTTAGTGGAGAAGAATTCACACTGCTTTGAGAGCTTGCCCACCCCATCCATGCCAAGAAGTGCCTAGTGGTTGCCCTGGCATTTATAATCAGGAACTGAATGGCCTTGAAGCTGCCTGGCAGTAGCTTTTCAAGAAGCCGAGTGTTCAGAACACGGTTTGCACTCAAACCTTTGAATGAAGGGCAGGCAGAATCTCGTTTATCTTCCTTTCTACTAACTCACTGTGGCAGAGGCCATGGCCAATGAGATGTTTGGGTAGAGCTGACTTTCAAGAAGAAAAATTTAGTCCTGTGGCCAATTCTGTAGTTGTTCTGTTCTTGAAACACTTGGCACGTTTCAAGTTCCTGAAAAAAAGGTTCTGCTATACTTTGTAAAATAGGCCCACTTCCTTAAAAAGAATGTGGGTAGAATTTTACATCTCAGACCTCATTTTTATGTGAACTTAAGAGCTTTCTTTAAATGCTCTATAAAATACAAAATTATTTCCTGAAGTTACAAGCTTCCTCCCTGATCTGTCTGCATGTTAACCTGTGTTGTCAGGTGACATTAGCTTGACAAGGGGATTATCTGTGCTTGATTTAAGACCTAAAGTCCAAGACTTGCCTGGAGGTCCGGTGGCTAAGACTCCACACTTCCAAAGCAGGAGGCCCAGGGAAACTAAGATCCCACATGCTATGTAGTGTGGCCAAAAAATAAAAAACCTGAAGTCTTGTGCTTCCCAGATGGTGCTAGTGGTTAAGAACCCACCTGCCAAAGCAGGAGACATAGAGATGCAGGTTCAATCCCTGGGTCGGGAAGATCCCCTGGAGGAAGGCATGGCAACCCACTCCAGTATTCCTGCCTGGAGAATCCCATGGACAGAGGAGCCTGGCAGGCTACAGTCCATAGGGTCGCAAAGAGTCAGACATGACTGAAGCAACTTAGCATGTAAAATCCTGTGTGTTTAAGAGCTGGCTCCACTGATTGTAGAGACAGGAAATCTCTTCCCAGGGGGATTGGTGTCCTAAAGTGTGAATCCCCACAGAGCAGAGAATCAGTCCCAGCATTATATAGTGCAGATAACTAAAGTTCGTATCTCATATGGTGACTTTCTGCAGTGTAGATAGACCCAGCCTATAAAGACGGGACCAACAAATTCCTAAAGGGCTATTTGTCTTCATATTAAATTTAACATAGCTCAAAATAGGAGGAGGAGCAGGGTAATGAAAGGTAAGGATAAAGCACTTTTATTGCAAAGTATACATTGAAAAGTAGGGGCAGCCTTCATATAATATATAATCTGCCATCCCGCTAGTGTTTTTTTCTTCTGGGGTATTTGAACATTAAGTTGGAGTATTAAGTGCCCCTGGGGTCCAGAATTTTGCCTATGAAGAGAAGGGCCCCTGTTTCTGTGTCCCTCAGTACAAAGATGAAAGGTTGGTTAAGGTGATAGTCCAGAGGGAAGGTGAGGCGGGCAGGCTGGACCCCTGGGCTGGGGTTAGTACCTGCCCCATCCTCATTCCACTCGAATCCGATGCGATGTTCCACTTGAGTGAGTTTGATAGGTTTGCCCGTGATCTTGCTAAAGTCTGGTGCGTCAAACAGGGATTGCAGCTCTGCAGAAATTGAGAGAGATTTCCATTAAAACCTTGCCTTGTGAACGCTACAAGAAAGAATACAAACCTGATTCTCAAGAAGGCAAGCAAAGTGGGGGTGGAACACTGCTTTTGGCTGTCTGTGACATATGTAGAGCTCTGGGCTGGTTAAGGGTTAAGTGACTTGCCTAAGAGCACTCAGCCAATGAGGTTAAGATTAGAAACCAGGTCAAGGGACCTATCTTGAGAGGCAGTGTTCGAAGTTCCTGTTATAGGATGTATGCTCTGGGGCCTTAGGAATGAATCTGATAAGGAAGGCAGTTCAGCCTTCCCCTCCAGCACTATTAGAATGAAGGGATCATCCCGGGCCCCAGTATTAGTCCGTGGAGGCTTTGTATTTTGTTTAGCAAGGTGGAGGACTTCCCTTGTGGCTCAGCTGTTAAAGAATCTGCCTGCAATGCAGGAGACCTGGGTTTGATCCCTGGGTTGGGAAGATCCCCTGGAGAAGGGAAAGGCTACACACTCCAGTATTCTGACCTGGAGAATTCCATGGGAATTCCAGTCCATGGGGTCGCAGAGTCAGACACAACTGAGCGACTTTCACTTTCACTGTAGCAAGGTGGAAGGAAGGCTCAAAGATTCAACCCCACCCTCCCCAAGAGCAAAGAGGTGTTGTAGCCGTACTGAGCTCCTGCACAGACTTCGTGAGTTCGCCTTCATAACTCAGCTTCAGCTTGGGAATGGTCAGGACCGCCTGAACAGTCTTCAGTTCTCGGTCTATGTCATGAATGAACTCAGAGGTGAGGCTCTCTTCTATCAGGGTCAAGTTCTGGGTCACTCTCTGAGGCAGGAAGAAGATGATACTTGTGCTCCCAGTCAAGGGCAGCTGGGCAATCTGAAACAACAGAGAGGAAGCACATGGGTTAGATGTTTGGAGCCCAGGAGCCTAGCGATGGACAAACACCCCCAGCCGCCTTATCTCCTGGGACCAGGCCTCGCCTCACTTCCCCCACCTGTCTGTGTAACAGTTGTCCCTCTAAGCTGTTGCTTTCCGGCAGCAAGATGTCTACTGCTGGGACTTGCCTGGTGGTAGAATGGTTAAAGAATTCTGGCATTGCAGGGGGCACCGACAATCCCTGGGCTGAGAAGTAAGATCCCACATGCCGCAGAGCAGCTAAGCCCATGGGCCACAACTAGAGAGTCCTTGCACTGCAATGAAAGACCCTGCATGAGGCAACTAAGACCTGATGCAGCTAAATAAATAAAAGTTCTCTACTGATGTTTCTTCAAGCATAAGCCATTGTCTTTTCTTAGCCGAATACCAACTGAAGTTATCTGCTGAAAGAATTTCTTCTGTGGTTTTCTAAAGAGCCAGAATTGAATTCCCAGGTCTGTGTTTTCTTCCAAGGTTTGTCAGCCAGTAGTTACTGATCATCTGTTATATACAGAGCCCCAGACTAGAAATGAGGGCACTGGGAAGAGCAATGCAGAAGCAGCAATACAATGGCCCTCTGAGCTGAGGTCTTTAACCTAAGGGGCAGATGGCATCGGGGGTCCCGAGAGCCCCCTGAAATCACCTGCAGAGATGCATGTGTGGCATTTCTCTCCAGTGCTTCAGGCATTTTGTCAGATTCCCAAAGAAAAAAACTACTGACTTAGAATTTTCTTAAGTCAGCTAGGAGAGACTTAGAATGCCAGGAACTTGGAGTTTGCAACAGATTTTGAAAGTTTGGATTTTTATAAATACAAGTTCTCCCCAAAAAAAGAGAAGAAGGAAAGACAAATAAATAAATAACCAGTATTTGAGTGCCCAGTCTTGAGGACTCAATTTCACTTTACCAACCCTTGCAACAAACCCTGAGTTGGAGGATAAGTTTCAATAGCTAGGGCCCTTCATTTTTAGAAACAAAGGGCTCAGTTAGTGGGGCTTCCCTGATAGCTCAGTTGGTAAAGAATATGCCTGCAATGCACCCTTGCAACAAACCCTGAGTTGGAGGATAAATTTCAATAGCTAGGGCCCTTCATTTTTAGAAACAAAGGGCTCAGTTAGTGGGGCTTCCCTGATAGCTCAGTTGGTAAAGAATATGCCTGCAATGCCAGAGACCCCGATTTCATTCCTGGGTTGGGAAGGTCTGCAAGAGAAGGGATAGGCTACACACTCCAGTATTCTTGGGCTTCCCCTGTAGCTCAGCTGGTAAAGAATCCACCTGCAATGCAGGAGACCTGGGTTCTCAATCGCTGGGTTAGGAAGATCCCCTGGAGGAGGGCATGGCAACCCACTCAGAAAAGCTCTTAACTTACTGAAGGGCACATAGCAGGTAAAATTCAGACAGCTCCATAACAAGAGAAGCCCACCTCACAACTACAGAAAGCCCATGCTGCGCAGCAAGGAAGACCCAGCTCAGTCGTAAATAAGTCAACGAATAATTCAGACTGCTGTCAGATCTCAAAGGCCATTCTATTCCCACTGCGCCATCCTGCCTAAACCCACACCACCACTCACTGCCCATACAGACCTTGCAGTTGAGATCAGAATCCAAGCCGTACCGTAAAACGGCCTTAGGGTCTGACATCATGGGGACTTTCACGGTCCTCTCCTCATCCAAGTGGAAATCCTCCAGGGAAGTCTTTCTGGAGTCAAACTTTGTTACCCACTGCCCTGGAATGAAACAGATGGAGTGCCCTGAGCCCCAGGAGACCAGAAAGGCACACTGCTGAAAATTGCCCAGCTACAGAACTGAGAATTGACCTTCATCTCCTATCAGTGCAGGAGACACAGGTGCAACCCTTGGGTTGGGAAGATCACCTGGAGGATGGCATGGCAACCCACTCCAGTATGCTTGCCTGGGAATTTCCGATGGACAGAGGTGCTACAGTCCGTGGGATTGCAAAAGAGTCCACTTAGCAATTAAACAACAGCAGGAATCTGAGTCATCAGAGGCCCTTACACATCAGGGAATAGATCTGTCTTGGGATGGGCAGTCTGGACCATGATATTTTGAGGGTCCTGACTACCTTCCACATGTAAACTCAGAAAGAAATATTGTCAGGTTTATTCAAGTGCTGTGATAGCTAGGAGAAAGGTGTAGAGTGTACACAGTCTACAGTGATGTGTCCGGGAGACAGACTGCAGGGAGGCCAGAGTTGGAAGTGACTGTGACGTCATGTCGACCATCTCATAGATGAAAAACCATGAACACCCAGAGAGGTGAAGTGATTTGCCAATGCTCACACAGTGAGCCGATCGTTTAGCATGGTCTTTAACATGCTGGTCTGTAACAGCTTCTTTCACTTCCTGGAGCTCAGTGCTTCATGAAGGACTTTTCTCTGGGGGTTTAGGGGTCCTCTTTCAACACTGCCTGATAGACAGTTGTGAAGCTTTTTAAGGGGAGGTTGCCCAAAATCCCACCCAAGTCTCATGAATAGGGCTGGCCTCACACTGGGCCTGTGGAATAGTTGGGTACTTCACCATGGCCTAGAGGAACATTATTAGAGAACTAACATGGTTTATCGAGGGCTTCCCAAGTGGTGGTAGTGGTAAAGAATCTGCCTGCCAATGCATGAGATGTAAGAGATATGAGTTCAATCCCTGGGTCAGGAAAATCCCCTGGAGGAGGACATGGCAACCCACTCCAGTATTCTTGCCTGGAGAATTCCATGGACAAAGGATCCTGGTGGGCTATAGTCCATAGAGTTGCAAAGAGACACAACTGAACCAACTTAGCGCACACACACACACTTGGTTTATCGAGTGCCTGCTGTGTGTCCCAGGCATGATGCTAGCTAGGTCCATGAGAAGATAGGAGACAACACACATAGAGTGCCTCTGAAATCAGTTTGCCATCTCCCAGTGACAGATGAGAAAACAGGCTCAAAAAAGCTATGAAGTTCATGCAGGTCTCTCCAGCCAGAGCCAA